GGGGTTTGGGGTTTGGGGTTGGGTGGGGGTGGGTCTCATGTACACTCTACATTCTTCTGCTGCCTGCACCTCCTGTGTAATTAAGGGCTTCTCAGCCGCAAGCCAGAGAGCTTTTGGCAATAAAAAAGACTAGGTGGCGCGCGTCCCAAGGCTGCAACTGTCCAATCCTCAAACCAAATTAGACCCCTAGAAGCCTAATTAGACCCATAGCCCAAAAAAGAGGGTCAAGCGTTCCTACACGGACTACAGCTCAAGAATTTCAAGCGAATCCTTGTCTTTTTTTGGCTCACAATTGAAGACCAGGGCACATGGCGTGATGATTTTAGGATGCATGTTGGGTTCCAAGCTTTGGGTTGGCAGGCGAGGCTGAAGCTCTCTGTGCGGATTTAACACCGTTTGACTCCCAAGCTTCCAGCCCTAGCTCCACAAGCTTTTGCAACGTAGAACTTGAGGTTCGCTTGAAGAATTTGAAGCGTTTAACTGAAACATGGTGGCTATTATGATGAAATTGCACAGTCCACAGTAATGCAGCTGGGGCATGTTCTACATCTGGGTTCCTGAACGTGAAGTCTAGTGCAAAAGACCCATAAATGGTCGATTGTCTATATGACCCCTGCATAGTTCTTGACACAATCCTGTTTGACCTCCTCATAGTTACCAAATACATCCCAGGGTCACGAAGTAGTCCCTTTTCAAAAACCCTGCAGAAGAAGCATTGGTTTTGGCATACAGGCAATTGTCAAAGCTGCATGCTGTAACCGCGCGTAATATGGCAGTTTCCCTAAATAGAGTGACCCCTATGTAGATCCCAAAATACAAGCCGTATTTTTGGGACCCCAAACATGGTGCCACTAATTTTGGGAACCTTCATATTGCTCTTCATGGGGCGGAGAAGCTGACCAAGGCTCTTTACAAGACATGGACACAAGGCATCATATGAGTGGTTCCTAAAAGTAGGGTCCCATTGTAGTACCCCTAAATAATATGTGCTGTAATATAATCTGTAGCCAAAATGGGCCAATAATTTTGAGAACAACCCAGCTGATGCCAAAAGGAAACCCTAAGAGAAACCCCATGTCCACTCCGAGTAATTTCTTGGGAGCCAGCAGTAGCTCAAGAGGTGTTAAGGTTCTTGCACGCTGGAATTAAGCTGCAACGCGCTGCTCTAGACCCTAGCACCTTGACACAACTAAACCTTCAAGTATGTTTAGGGGCTGGCTGTAGTCGAGCTGCGCAAGGAAGCGCGCAACCCAGCGCATTTGTTCCGCTTCTGTTCGAGCTTCTGTACCCCCTGGAGAGGTTCAGGGGAAGTGGGGCTAAGTAATTTAAGAGTTCAGGTCAGCCATTGTAGGTTAGTGAATCAGCCACATCCTGGGTGCTTGCTGGTGGGAGGCGCATTGAAGGCGCTGCAGTCAACCCACCCTATGGACGTCCAACGAATCAGTGACACAGCCAAATCTATGTTCTTTATCATGCGGAGGTGATCTTGGACGATGTGCAGGGAGCTGATTTGAGAAGCTGGCAACAACGAGGGGTCGACATCCATGATGCCGAATTTCTGTGAAGCTGCAGTGGTGCAAGTTACATGGTGTGGGCGCCGACAACAAATGAAGGTTCTGCTGGGATGTGCAAACTGATCAAACGCCACATTTTCTGCAGGAGAGCCATCACGAGAAAATGATAAGGACCCAGTAATACTGATTTTGATCATCACGACATTCAATCGACAACCAGAAGAGAAAACATTAAAAACACAAAAGCAAGACTGACCGCATCAAGATCCAAAGGAAACACAACCAGAAAGGTAATGAAACGTTTCATGCTCCAGCCACAACTCAGAATTTGCAACAAATATGATTATGATGCCTTCCGTACTCACATTACCAGCAATAACACAATTTTCTAGATTCCCTAACACCACCCCGGCCCCCCATGATCCCCAATACTGCCTGGGTTCGAAAACTACAGACACAGGTTCGCACTGAACTCCAGCTTCCTGCCTTCACCTGCCACAACGTCGTTCAGCTTGGACACATACGCCGACTTCCTTGGTATGCCTGTCATTTTGCAGCTCAAGAAGGCCGCCCCCAACGCGACGACCTGGGCGAAGAGGGTTTGTCGGATGTCAGAGATGTTGGGGCTGACTTTTTCGGGGTTTAGGACTTTGCCATTTGAGGTTTATGATTTAGGGGTTGTGTGAGCACCACCAGCGGCATTGTAGCCTTCGGTTCTCACATGACGAAGCCGTCGTGGCTGAAACTCTCACAAGCCATTAGGAGCTGGAGCCGTGCGACCTAAACTCAAACACTTGATGCAGCTTTCAGAGCTGGAAACAGAGATCGGCGCATTTTCATCTTGGCTTTGGTGACAACTGTCATGCATCTATGCAGGACTCTGTTACAAGTAGCACATGATAAGCAAATTGATTGAGGCGTCCCCAAAATGCTGGACAGGGATGCCTTTGGTTCGATTTTTCTCAAAGAGCCTACATCCACAGCAGCCACCTGAGCGGACTCCCACTCCATGAACTAGGACTGGGGGCCTAGACTCCAAGGGCTGGGGCTGCACTTAGAAGCAGTCTGTTCAGAAAACGTTGAGGCGATGCTGCCACAAACTGACATTGAAGAATCTGCCAAAAGCAACTTCTCTGCGTGCTAGCTTGCGGGCTTCCTTCGCCTGGGAATGCAACCATGAGGAGACGGGATCGATACACTTCAGGCCATAACGTTATTGCGATAGTGTTTCGCACAGGCCCGTGAAGGTTTGTCAAAGCAGGCGCAAGCCGTGTTTGGGCTTGAGGTTTATTCGTAGTGTTGCAAGCTCTGACATGCGGACAGTACATGCGAAACCCCGACTGAGGCCTGTTAAGAAACAATTGAGGTTGCACTGGCTGCGAGGCATCTACAACAAACAGCTTCCATGCAAGGGCGCAGCGCTGCCTGCGCCATGTGGGGACAGATGGGCACAATCGCAAGCAAGGTTGCTTAGATCGTAATTCCAAGTGCCATGGTGAAACCGCTTCTGAGCAAATGCTGACAACAACGCGGTCCGCTGAATTTGGTCATTTGGCCCCCCGAAGAGCATGAATAATGTGCTTAAAGGTGTATGGAAGATAGAGCCTCGTCTACAGAGACCCGAAACAGACTTTCAAATCCCGCGCTCCAAACCTTGATCTTCAACCCTCAATTCTAAATCCCCAAGTCTGGGACACTGCCTGACTGCGACAAAAAAACCTCTCACTTGCAACTCAAGACTTCAGGAATTTTTCCTCTTCATAGAACGCTCATAAACCATACTGGAACCTTTCTTATTCCTGTAGTTGAACTCAATGATTCTTGCTCAGACTCCAAATAAGCCTAGCTAAATCTTGCATCCAGGAAACGGGCCAGTCTTCCCTTGGGCCAATGTCCAGCTTCGGATCGTAGTATCCTCTGATAAGCACTGCTTGCGTACGCTTCTGCATTCAGATACCATTTGATCAACTTGTTTTCGGGTATTGAATAATTCTTTCTGACATCCAAAGGGCCTGAAATACATGAGAACGGGAATGGAGGCATAAGAGGGATCTTTCAAGGCTCTGACATGCCACCCTCACATGTCTAGATCCTTTCTATATGCCAAAAACAGGAACCCGAAGCTGCACTCACCAAGCAAAACTCCAGAACCCCTTCCACATGCCAACCTCCAGACTTTCTACAGAGACCAGGGGCCAGGAATCGCGCGACTGAAAACATTGACAGATGAAACATGTTGCCGAATGGAGAAGAAAATGCAACTTCTGATAGAAGAAATCCCAGACCAGACGATTTCTAAGAATGACGCTACCTAAGGGCCCTAAGCGGCGCATTTTTCCTTTAAACAGTCTCAGACACAGAGTCTTAGTTTAGATAGCAGAGGTTCGATTGATCAGACGGCATGCTGTGATCTGCGTCAGCTCGCAGGCTCCATCCAATTTCTTCAGCGTTTCCTGCACATGAAGGAGCACTGGCTTAGGGATAACATGTCTGGTCCCTTCCCAACCAGAACAAACACCCCGTCACCCAATGACAAATGTCTCCCTAATCTACAATGGCACTATATTGGGAATCTGTATGTTTAGGGGCGGGTGGGTACATGTTTAAGGGAGGGCTTCCGCGTCACATCGTCACGGAGCGAAGGATGCGAAGCTCAAGGTTCAAGCAACCCCCAAGGGAACGGTAGAGCATGGCACGCTAAAAAAAGGTTTAAGTCTGGAGTTGTGGGTCCCGGGTAGAAGCTGGGGACTGACAACAAGCTGGACCAACTTTCACCCACTCAGGCCAGCCAAGCCTGCTCAAAGCATTGTGTTGGACGGACCTTTCTCGGGCTACATGGGTGCGAAATATGTTCCGATCAGAGTAGAGACGAGGTTTGGAATTCGAAGGTTCCAAGCGAGAATGCTTACAAGGTCTCTACCGAGAAGAAAGTTCTTCGATCCATGAGAATGCCGCTATCTCTCAATCAGGAACCCATTGCTGCACGCGGACAGCTGAACAAGGAAGCGACAGGCCCAAAAGCGACCACGCTGATTATCCAGAGGCGAGGCGGGGCGGCTTCTGGAGGGCTATATCACCAACTTAGACATACCCACAATCTAAGGAATTCTGAACGTACCGGGAATACCCAGAATGTCACTTTTGCTGTGGCGGCACATGTCATCATATTCCGCCTACCAGGGGGTAGCTTTATCACCTCGAACCCAAAACTATCATCGAAAAGTCCTGAACGATGAGCCCTAAACCCTGGAACCCTAGACCAAACAAGCTAAGCCACTTCTTTATGAACCTTGCTAGAGAGCTCGAAAGCTCGCTCGCAAGCACGAACCCGATCTCGCTGAAGTGCCGCCTGGCCAGGAAAAAGGCCCCAAGGAATTGGGACAGGGTTCGGGATTTAGGGTTGAGGGCTTCTGGCTTGAGGCTTTGGGCTTAGAGCTGAAGCTACGTGCGTAAGGTTCCGGATTTTGAGGTAAGGGTTTAGAGGTAAAGGTCGGAGGTTTAGGGCTCAGGGCTTGAAGCAGCTACATAGGATTGCGATTCCGGAACAGCGGGGCTTAGACATTTTTCAATGGCGCTTTGTAGCCTTTGACAGGGAGTGAGGTCTTGAGCTATGCCGGGGACATGGTATGCTCGGAGGTTTAAAGGCTTGGAGGCTTGCAGCGGGCAGATCCACCTCATGCACATCATGTGAAAAGCTTCTGTTTTGGACGTTCATGTACTTAGGATCCCAGTTGGGGTGGTCTAGAGCAAGAGACATGAAGGTACTGTTTCACGCTTGGCCATATCTTACTGCAAATGACAGTGGAGTTTATCCACCAGCACCAGGATTACCAAGGCCAGCAATTGCAGGAATCATTGTGAGCTGTGTCACCTTGCTGCCCACTGAATTTCAGTGCAGGTTTCGGGGCTTGCCAGCTTAACGGAACTGTAGCAAGTTTAGGCCTTGACGCCTTGCCAAGCGTATCATTGCTTGGGTCAATCCCCACCTCAGCGATGGGTACCACAAGACTGTTGTAGGCATATTACGGCCCTATCAAAGCCATATTTAAGGGCTAGAACTGTAGGGGGGTTGACCAGCACACCAGGTTTCAAGATGTAGAGCAGGCAAACCAATTGCTCAAACGGGTTTCCCTTTGCAGTGCATCCCCAAAAAAAACATATGCCCGCAACCCGAGACCTATGCCTGAGCCCAAACCCAAACGCTCAAACTACATGTAACTGGAAGTTATTAGCTTGGACTAGAACAAAACCTGGAACCCTACAAATCCCCTCCCAATAGCAACAAAAAAATACCCCTAACAACAATTTCTCACTGTTATATGACGTCCCTACATGAGGCATAGTCGTGATCAGGGGGTGAAGATATTTTGTATTAAGGGGAGGGGTTTATAACATCACCTTCTATGTGCCTGCCTGTCTAGCACGATTTTTAAGACTGCAGGTTTTTAGCTCCGCCTCGGGTTCCAGAGCCCCTCCTGAAGAGGCCCCTGAAGCGGCCATTGCTGGAATGGGCGTCCATTCTGCAAGGAATCTATTCCCTGATCTTGGTTAGAAGGTTTGGGTGGGTGAGGGGTTTCTGGCCTAGGGGTTGGGGCTTAGGGATTGGGGTCAGGGTTCAGGAGTGCTACGGTCTGGCGATTTTGATATGAGCTTGACGTTCGAAGTATCGTGCAGCTTTTCAGTACCGGAGGTTTGGGGTGTAAGCCCTCGCTGAAGCTCCTAAGCCGAGGGCTTAGTTTATTATAATAGGGTATACATAGGGGTTATATTGGGATAATGGAAAGGAAAATGGAAACTACTATATTATAATAGGGTATATATTGGGGTTATAGTGGTGTTTGAAATATGGGGCTTTCACGCCTAACGCTCAGGTGCTCTGGGTTGAAGAATTACAGGCTCAACCCCAAACTGAGGTCCATGAACTCGGGTTTGGGGGCTGCAAAGGCAAACCCACCACCGACCGGCAACAATGCACTCGAGCCAAGTGCACAGGAAGTTAAGGGTTTCTATGAGCCATAGTCTATACTCCTAGTATCCCCCTTAATAACCCCTAAATAGTCCCCTGTATCATCCCCTCTGTAAGCCCCTTTAAGGAATTCAGACTATAGCTCATATAGGGTTGAAGGATCTATACATTATGTGTCGATTGTTGGAATCTCTCTTCAAGGGTGCTCTAGAACAAGAGGGATGAAGGTACTGTTTCATGCTTGGTCATATCTTGCTGCAAATGACAGTGGAGTTTATCCACGAGCATCAGGATTATCAAGGCCAGGGATTGCAAGAATCATTGTGAGCTGTGTCACCTTGTTGCTCACTGAATTGTGGCGCAGGTTTGGGGCTTGCTAGCTTAACGGAACTGCAGCAAGTTTAGGCTTTGACGCCATGGGAAGTGTATCAGTGCTGTATAGCACCATAGCACACCAGGCTTTAAGATGTAGAGTGTTTGCAGGGCATCCCCAAACGCGATCATAAGGAGCAGGGACTTTAGCAGTGACATCAACTATGCGTTTGCAGACCAGTCAAAAACTATGACATCCCTGCGACCTCCCTCCCCAAATACCAAGTGAATCTACCGATGAACAGGTGAGAACCGGAAAATCCTTGTCATTCTTGGAATCCGATAGCTGTTCCTATTCCTAAAAGCTGTAGTCTAGACTCCTTCAAGGGGGTTATATAGGGGATGATTTAGGACAGTAGTATAGGGAGAGATACTAGGAGTTTAGACTGTGGCTCATAAGAACTACGAACGCCTCTTTCTGGCTGGGTGGAGAGCTCTGACCTTTGAGGCCCTTATCTGCAGGATTGTCATCGATATTGTTCGAGTAAGACAGACAAATTCAACTTTGGCGCCTTGTTTGGCGTCCGATTTTGAGAGCGCACTCGTATGCCATTCTAGGCATAGCTAGAATCAAAATAAAGCCCTTGCATAGACGTTCGTGGTCTGGATGACCCTGAGATCGTCTCAAGATCACCTTCTCCTTTTGCCTTCAGCTCTTCACCAACCATCCACAGCAAGTACAAGGCCTGAAATTTGGCTTGCATATGTCAATTTCAAGAGGAACAGGCCCACGCGACGCATGCCTTCTCCACCAGTACTAATTGGGCGGATCTTGATCATCTTGCAACACGTCTGCTGAAGGGCGAGCCTCAAAAGCTGAGTTGATCGGTCACGGTTGAAGGTTTGATTTACCTCAAAAACAAGATTTCCAGCAGTCAGGAAGAAGATAATTAGAAAGCTTGCGCTGAGTAAAGCAACTTGGCTGGAGGCGTTGAGCTTTTAAGCGTAGCTGTCGATGGGACCAGAGTCGCGTTTTCAGGCTGCCGCCCACACTGCCACCAGCACTGCTGAGCAAGAGACTAAGCTGTAAGCCTCAGCATGCCAACGAGAGTTTCGCAAAACAACCTTCACCAGGGACCCCTCAATCCCGAGAACGGCTACCTTGAGAGACTCCAAGTGGCAGCTTAACGCTCGGGGTTAGGTGGAAGACGAGCTTCAAGGTTTGGAGGCCTCTCACCGCTACCTGCGGACCCTGCATAAAACGCTGCTGCTAAAGAACCCAAATTCAGGCGGCCCAAAGTCAATGTCCGGGCACCTTTACATTCCGCCCCGTTTGACCCCAAAAAAAAATCCAACACATGGTAGCTTAATCTTTGCAGCTACCCATTTCGTTTTGGGCATGGTACTGTGCTGCCACGCAGATGTTACCCTGAAAAGCACGGCACAAAACTCGTACACAGCTGCCTGTCAAGACACAAGGGTAAGTAGTTGATGCACGCTTCGTGTAAACTCGACAAGGATCCGTTGCATGGAGATCGTGGAGGGCTACGATAGCTTTCTAGGATAGCAGGCATTAAGATCCACAGGCAAACCTTTGAATGCAGCTCTAAATTTCAAGGTCATTGTACAACTCATGCTCAGAATCCCCCAAAGAAATATGATGGCAGTCATCAGCCAAACCCCACTCGCCAAACGCAAAACCCTCCAAACCTCAGAAAAGGTCTTATCCTGCGCCCTTCCGAGTGCTACCGAATGTGACAAATTTACCAACTGATCTGTCGCACCTCATGTTTTCCGGACACAGACTTCTGGTTTGAACTGAGAAGGCTGTTCCTCATCTGAGGCCCAAGTCCAAAAAGTTATTTTGGTAAACCTTAAAACTTACAGAAGGGTGCGCTGTGGGGC